ATCTATCTATCTATCTATCTATCTATCTATCTATCTATCTATCTATCTATCTATCTATCTATCTATCAGGGGTGCAACAATACATGTACTGTATACAATACAGATTTTTAAAATTTACTTTATCAACTTGTCTTCTGAAGTTGCTCTGTGTTGAAGGATCAGTGGATCTGTGTTCGACTACTCCACCTAGGCTGCATTTTTGAGCTCAGATCCACTGAGAAACTTGCTGTTTCAGCAACATTTAATTTAAAAACTGTACTTTTGAGGTTAAACAAATGTTCATAATTAATATAAATAAATTACAAGTTAAAAGGGGCGTGGACATTTCTCTTTTTTGTATCAAAAACATATCGAACCATGAGACTAAAGTATCGAACCGAACCGTGAAATTCCTGTATCGTTGCAGCCCTATACGTATATATTATAATATATACTGAGAACCATAACTAGATACCACAAAGCAGTAGCATATATGACCCCCTCATGTATGCAAAGCACCTCTGCACCAGACACCCCCCTTTTCAGGTGGGGTGGGGGGCTCATTTGTGGGCCTGAAGGATAGCCCAGCTAAACAGCAAAACAAATCTGAAGCTCCTACGTTGAATAGTTTTTGAATTATAAGCACTTTTGTATGTCCAGACGGCCCCTTTTTAGATGGACCCCCCTCCTCAAATATGGGGTCTATCGTAAAACTGTTGGCTGGTGCAGTGTAGGTCGGATACATCTACATTCCTGCCATATTTCATGTTGATCGGTGCAGCCGTTTCTGTGCTACAATTGACCAAAAATCTTGAAAATAAATAAATAAATAGTACAAAAACTATATGACCCGTTTGCGTACAATGGGGTGAGGTGTGTGTGTGTGTGTGTGTGTGTGTGTGTGTGTGTGTGTTTGTGTGTGTGTGTGTGTGTGTGTGTGTGTGTTGGGGGTGGGGGGGTTCATAATTAACCAGGAACAATCAGTGGATCTCAAAAAATATTCACAGCATTAGTTTCAAACTACGTGTCAGATTCCATTCCTGGCCGACGTGGTGCCTCGTCCAAAAGAAGATCAATGTTTTCAGGAGAAAACATGGCCCCCGCAGGGGTCAGGGGGGGTTCTGAAAACCTGCTATTGTTTTAGCGTTGCACCACCGAGCCAGACAAATGAGACGGGAATACAGATGGGGTCAGAGAGGGAGGAGAGTGAACAGATTACTTCTCACTGTGGAGCTTGAATGTCACCTACCCCGAGTTATATCAGCAGCGTGATTTACCCGCTGCTTTATAAATTAAACTATTAAATCATTCTCATGTGTTTTCAGGCCTCTTTAAAAAAAGGAAAAAGAAAAGGGAAACAATGCAGGACAACTTCTCTCTTTCATATTAGTTTGCGATAGCGTGCAGGGACGTCCTCGACTTTGAGTTTGTTTCCCTGGTGAAGCATCAGCAGGCATGATGCTGGAAGAGTTTAGTATGTAGGTGGCAGAGAAACTTTTCCTGTGCGGCTCAGTCGGGCACAAACTCCGAGAGAGCAAAGCCGCCTGCTGCAGCGTGATAACAGAGTGAGTTCCTGGAAAAACAAATCTTTATCTGAACGAGCAGAGTCACCTGCGGCTGCGAGACACTGACTGGCAGAATACAGAGTGGCACGAGGGCCGCCTCACCGGAGCTAACCGGGATTAGCTGGTTTAGCTAAACTAAGGCTGTTCTGCAAAAACTGCATCCAGACGGGACACACCCAGTCATGCAAATGTCATTCTTAGTGAGTTTAAAGGAAGCTGTGGTTCAAGATGGGTGATTCAGCTGGAAGTTTAGCTTATTTTGAGACATTACAGAGCTGTAGTTTTAGTCAAACTTTGAAAAACTCTTGTAATATTGCAAAATGTCAGACTATACAGTATGTTATTAATGACCCCCAGCTCCTAATATGCTCAATTTTAGCTTAATATCTGTTATGTTGACTGAATTGCTGCGATTTTTGTGGTGGCTAGCTGTGGCACCCATCTTTAATCAGGCTGCCTCTCAAAGCCTGTGTCCAAATTCAGGGGCTGTGTCCTCCGAAGGAGTCCAAATACAGAGGACACCGCCCCTGAATTTGGACACAGCCAAAGTTGGTCAGGTGTAGACGCATTGGCCCCAGTTGAAATCTGATTGGCCCCCTGAAGTGCCCCTGTCCTGTCACTCATCTGTCCTTTACCTGGGGGTGATGATGGTGGATGCAGTTGCATGTTCAAACACTAGTTGCGCTAATGAGTCAAATAGTAAAGTCCAGAATGAATCAAGCTGACAGAATTCTTCTTCTCTTCTTAAATTGTGAACAATCCTGCAAAATAGTCTTTCAGCTGACAAATGAGGTGTGGATTTTCTCACATGTTGTGTGTTTGAAAATATTTTATCTATGTCCAGTAAAATGAATGAAAAACTGGTGAGGAGAATTTACTGTGCAAGATTTTTGGTACCACTTTACAATCAAGCTCCCCTTATAGATGGCTTATAAAGAGTTTATAGATAGGTTATTAATTAATTTGTAAAGTTTACACTTTATAAATCATTAATAAATGAAACTGGACAATTTTGTCTCTTTCTCGTCCTTAATTATTGCACAATAAACACTTATTAATAATTTTTAAAGTGTTTACAGATTAATTAATAACCTATCTATAAACTCTTTAAAAGCCAACAAAGGGGGGCCTTATTGTAAAGTGGTACCTTTTTTAAAAAAAATACGTTACATTACAAGTGTTTGAAGTGTAAAATGTATACACTGGGAATTTGTGTGAAAGGATGTTGAACAAAGACTTGGCACCTCAATGAATATTGTGGCCCCTTGATGGCCCCTTACTCAGAAAAATCGTAGATCCGCCACTGTGTAGACGTGTATCCAGTCATGACTTTGTGCATTCAAGTTTGTTCAATGATTCACAAAATACTTTGATAATAGGCTCGCTCCACCTTCGCCGTTTGCCAAAATGTTACCTTGGTAGAGAAGAGCGAAGCCCTGGGCCTGGTTGGTGCGGTCTGAGTAGAAGTACAGGATGACAAAGTCGCCCGTGACGTTCAGCAGCTCCCGCGGCGGGCTGCGCCAGTCGAAGCGGGCCACCACTTGGTTGGTGTAGCCGTCCAGGAGCTCCACCATGTCCGTCTGGTCCGAGATGTCAAAGAAGGTGAAGTTGAAGAGGATGGAGGAGGAACCGGGAACCTGGATGGTCCAGTAGCAAACACGACTGGCCCCATATTTGTCAGGGAAATCGGGGGAGTAGATCACTCCGGATGGTGAGGTGTAGTTCCCACCACAGGCGCCCACCTGGGCTGAAATAAATACAGAAAAATACAGTTAGACAGCTATAGGATTTTAACTCATAAAACTCAAAGTGATGTGTCAAATAATGCTGATTCGACTGTTCTCTGACTGGCTCGGCACGTTATAGTGTACAGTGACCACAGCAGGTCCAAAAACAATCGGAACAAACATTAAAACCAAAAATTTGCTAAGAGCTATTTTTAACGAAAAAGCTGGAATAACCCCTTTTTTCTATAAGTATTTTTGTCCAATAGCACTTCTTCAAATAAAAGTAAATGTTTTATTAAAACATTATTGAACTTTACAATAATGCTGGTATAAAGTAAACATGAAAAGACAATAAATACAAAAGTCTTGTTTGTTTTGTTCTGAGTCATTTAGTGTGTAACAGGAAACAACAGCAGAGACACAAAAACTACAGAATGTGACTCGTAACGGCTGATGCTTACTGTCAAAGACGATCATCCAGCCGTCTCCTCCGCAGGGCTGAGTGTGATCGCCAAAACAAACGTGGTTGCACTCCGTGTTGGACGACTCGCCGCGCTCTTGCATGTCCACCTCGTTGCCACAAAAACAGGCGTATCCTGACTCCATACCTGCAAGCTGCGGAACAAACAGGTAGACATGTTTGAGCTCCTGGATGTGGTGTTTAGGACAAACTTCAGTCGACGCGACTTGTTCAGAGAATTATTACGCTAACCAACAGAATAGATCGTGATTATGTACTTTAGGATCTTATGTTGAGAAATGATTGAGTTATAACTTCCATCTCCATCTTTTGTTGCTTATCTGTAGTTGGGTCATGGAGGCAACAACCCAGACCTCTCCCCTGAGACCCTTTTCTAGCTCATCCTGGGGACCCCCAATGCATTCCCGGGCCAAAGAGGATACATAATCCCTCTAGCGAGTCCTGGGTCTTCTCCAGTGTCTCCTACAAGCGGGACGTGCCCAGATAACCTCTAAAGGGAGGCGTACTAATAAAATGAACCACCTCAACTGGCTCCTTTCGATGTGGAGGAGCAACAACTCTACTTGGAGCTCCCCTCGGATGACGGAGCTCTTCAGGGAAAAGGGAAAAGTAAGCTCTTTTCGGCTTGTATTCGAGATCTCGTTCTTTCGGTCGTGATCCACGCCTCATGACCATAGGTGAGGGTTGGAACGTAGACAGACCAGTAAATTGAGAGCTTTGCCTTTCAGCTCTTTCTTCTAGGGGTGCAACGATAAATCGTCCATCTGATTTACCAGCCCTAATTTCTTAATTTTCAGAAAGCGGTAATTGGCCAATACTTATATGAGTAGCCAATCTTATCCATGATCTTTTCTACCTCTGCAAAGGTCTGAAAGGGCTTTCCCTTTTAGCTCTATCTCATGTCCAGTTAAAACAAGTTTTTATCGTTTCAAGGGTCTTGTTCAACGTTTTTCAATAAAATAAGATTGGAACATTGAAGGTGGTATTGTGATCTTGTAACAGCTGATAGTGTCGGCCGGGTATAAAAAAATCGGAATCAGCCACAATAGGAATCGGCAGGTCAAGCTTTTAAAGGTTGGTGATGGACCAGAAAATTGCAATCGGTGTACCCCTACTTTCTCTGACATGGCTGAACAAAGCAACACCCTCATTATGCCCAGGACGAGGCCATAATTCGTCAATCCATCTCCCACTCCATCCTACTATCACTCATGGTACTGTTCCGTGTACCATGTTGAAGTTGGTATATGCCAAAAGTTGTGGACGTACATCCAATGATTGCTTTGAGAGTTTTACTCAAATCTGTCCTTTGGGTCATTATATAATTTGGTAACCAGCACACACACAAAATCGCTCTGCATTCGCCTTTCAATGATGAGCGTTAAACAGTTCCTCCCGAGGTGACTTGAATGTAAATTGCCCTCATTGCATTTTTTTTGTCCTCATGACTCCACAGCATGAAATATTTTAAACATCTGCACACAACGTGAAGAAAGTAAATCACACAGAAATACCTCTTCCCATCATTCAAATGAAGGATGTTGGTAAAAAGACATCGACCTCGCCAACACAAACGTTTGTTCTCAAAAGAGTTATTGTCCTTCGTTCAGAAGAACTCCATTGTTCTTCAGGCCCGGAGTGAATCCGGGAGAACAAAAGCTTCTTCATCATTTCCCACTTATTTTTTTTTAAATTATTTATTTAGTCATGAAATGGGAATTCTTGGTGCCGTTGCTGTCGTTATAACGTGCAAAACCACGTCCCTGAATGCTTTCAGAAGCAAAAAGAAAACAATTGACCGCCTGCTGTTTCACTCGTCAGGAATGCTCTTTGTCAACAGGTCACACGACTTCCGAGCACTGACGTTTCACACGTGCACCGACAGTCAGACAGCGCCGGTTCGTCACCATTTCAAGTTGACAGAAACAGAAAGACAGAAAAATCAACACCTGCTACCAGATTTTGGTGCAACAAAAACAGAGGAGGAAAAAAAAAACGCACTGCAGAGGAGGAGGTGCCCGGTCCAATAACAGCCGTTTAATTTCCAGCCATCAGCCTTGATTATGGTGATGATTCATCATCTGCTTGTTGCTTTTAAACAGGATCTCTGATGGCCGAATAAAAAGGGTGCCGTAACACTAAACTTTCACAGAACGGCCCGTAAATACAGATGATTTCCATAAAAAGCTCACAAGAGATCGCTCATGTCTAATTTAAATATAATATGGGGGATTTACTGGACGATTTAAAACCCAATAAGTGGATGAAGAAGAGTCAGGATGAGGAATAAACTCATTTTCCCTGCTTCACTTTCATTTATTTGTGCACATTCTGAAGTAAAGGTTTTAAAGCTCACCTTGTATCTTTTCCTCCGACAGAAGCTGATGCAGTTCTGAATAGTGAGTTTATTGTTGATCTCGCTGGCGCCGGACAGGGTTGGAGGGTGTCCGCTGTCCCTGAAGCAGCCCAAGTTTCCTGGCACTGCAGAGAACAAGAGGAGAATCCATTCAGTGAGATCATTTTTTGTGTATATGTTTTCTCGTTCTGACATTTTCTGCAAGCGTTGAGTCACGATGAGAATAGTTTAATTTTTCTTCACGTTAAGAGGAAATCAGACCAATCAGCTTGTGCTCATTGGATGTTTGTTTTGTTGTGATTTAACAAACTCTGCAGGTGTTTAAACTAAGCCAGGTAGTGAAAAAGGATATTTTATTTTTAGTAAAAGTGTCCTACTTCAGGATAAGAGTTGTCATTAAAGTTAATCAACTCTCACAATCACAAGTCCACTTTACACTTCACCTTATTAATGCAGCCTAAATGACAGTTTATCACAACACCAATAAACCTTTTGATCTAATGTTTGACAAAAAATGGTGCAAACTGCCAAAAAGCAGGACTGTTAGGCTTTTAAACAAAATATATGATGAAAAAAATGAGATAAGGTTTCAGGGATGTTTGATTCAAAGCTACAGAAAGGGGAATGTAAAAAACATAAACCATCAGATGTGACATTAAACCATATCAGAACAGGATTTATGACTGTGTGTTGTGGTGAGGTATTTGATGAGTTTAATGTGCCAAAAAAAAAAAGATCATAAAAAGTCTTCCCAGACAGTGTTTGACAAATTACAAGAACTGGAGGAGAGCCAACGCCTTAAATCTCAATAAACTGCTTTTTTTATGTGATTGATCTAAATCTAAAATGAGATTAAAACTAATAATTCTTATTTCTACATGCTATAAATTGTTTTGCTTTAATGATGTATTGACTTAGATAAACTCACTTTTAATTATAGTGTTAACTTTTAAAAACATTTTTCTCTTTAAAATAAGTGTAACTTCAGTATATTTTTGTTGTCTTGTGCTACTTTTAGCTTCCAGCTAGTCTTTTAATACTTTACCTTTTAGCTATCTTTTTGAAATTTAAGCTTCTAGCATCCACTTTGCTACCTTCAACTAGCCTTTTGCTACATTTGAATTTTAACATTTTTTAACAGATTCGATCTAGCATTTTTCTTATTTGTACTTTAGCTAGCGCTTTGCTCCTTTTAGATCACCTTTTAACACTTTAGCATTTAGCTAGCCTTTTGAAAACTTAAGCTCTAGCATTTATTTGCTACCTTCAACTAGCCTTTTGTTACTTTTGGCTTTTAACATTCATTTAGCTACTTTTGGATCTGACCAGCATTTTTGTTTTTTGCCTTTTTGCTAGTGTTTTGCTCCTTTTAGATAGTCTTTTAATACTTAATTTTAGTTAGCTTTTTGAAATTTTAAGCTTCTAGCATCTATTTTGCTACCTTCAACTAGCCTTTTGTTACTTTTGACTTTTAACGTGTATTTAGCTACTTTTGGATTCGATCTAGCATTTTTCTTTTTTGTCTTTTAGCTAGTGTTTTTTTTAGATAGCCTTTCAATACTTTAGCTTTTTGCTAGCATTTTGAAGCCTCTAGCATCCATTTTGCTGCCTTCAACTAGCCTTTTGCTTTTTTGGATATTAACATTATTTTTAGCGACTTTTGGATTTGATTGAGCATTTTTCTTTTTTGTCATTTAGGATGTCATTTACCATTTTTGCTCCTTTTAGCTTTAAAAACTCAATTTTTAGCCAATCTAGTTTTATTTTCAGATTTTTAGGTTTAGGTTTGACGTTGCTTAGGTATCAACAGGCCATCAGTTGGATTAACGACCAGACAGATTTGTGGTTTTTATGAATACACTGTTTCAGATCAAACACAAGTAGTCAGTCCGTCTCCTTTAATCCACAGAGTATTCATCATACAATAAAATCTCTAATACAATCTCTCAGAATCTGGGAAAGCGATTACACACTCCAAAGCCTTTAAATTGAATGTAATAGCTCTGGATGTGCCAATAAAGCCTCCAGCAGTCCATATCCCATTTATGATTTGTTTTTCATTTAAATGACTTTACTTGTGTTTCCAGCGTCTCGAGGTGAAATACATTTGACAAACAGGAATAGACGAACAAAGTGAGACCAATTTCCATGACAAGTGTGGAGAAATAAAAAAAAAAAAAGCTCTTGGGTTTAAAGGAGAGACAGGTCTCATCAAGCTGCAGGGTACAGATGAACGAAACGAGCAAAAATTCATTATTTTTGCTTTGGGATACAACAAAACACTGGTTTCATATCAGGGTACACATTACAATAAGTGTCTCAGTCTCTGGACACGAAGTTTCACAACCAGTCTTAAGACCACCGGGCTGTTTGTCCCCCCTGACACCAAACACTGGCGCTGGTCCTGGACTTTCTGCAGCTTCTGATGAGCCGAGCTGACAAGGACTGTTTATCAAAACCACCACTCATTACATATTTACTCTCTTGTCCTCGCTCACATATTGGCACCGTGCAAAGAAAATGAAACATATATCCAGAATATAAATTTCCATCCAACTTTGTTTAAATATTTAGGCCCACTGTTGCAGTCTAAACACTTTCCACTTGATAAAGACCACACATGATGGGCACCGTCTCTGAGAGGCCACTTGTTGATGCCACACTGTTGACTTTTCAGCTGGCACAAAAGCCCATTTACACGCACGGCAGATTCTGCAAATTCTTTGGTTATGAAAGAAGAGCGACACAAAGGGGAACGGGGAGGGGAGAGGAAGCGACATGTCTTCGATTCTTCCACGGAGCGGCTGGTGGGCCGAGAAACGACTCGAAACAAACAGCTCTGACCGTGAGGTGACCGCCGAGCCGCGGCTCACTGCGGCTCCAAAACGTGTTTGACAAATGACTCAGCTGTTTGAGTCCAACTCCCTGGCACCAGCGATAAATCATACGCAATTTGGGTTTTTTTCTCTCTCTTTTTTTTCCAGCCACAATGAAGCTCTAGAAGTGGATAAATACGCTTGTTTGGGTCATTTACTGAGATGCCGAGGCACACCGTCGCTTGCAGAGTTACGAGCTGAATTACACGACAGGTTAAAGACACACACGGCGGTTATGAGAACCTTTAAACTCAACTCATATTTTCTTGCAGAAAGCAGCAGGGAGTGCTGGGAAAGCAGTTTCGGTGTTTCCCCCCGCACCTCGTCAAGTGCATGCCCCCCCACGAGCAGAGAACAGGGAGAGATAAACACCTGGTTGAGAACCAGCAACCTCCCTCTGAGCAAGACAGGCACTCCAATAGTGCTTTTTGTAAAGCAAAGGCAAAAAAATAATAAAATAAAAAAACTAGGCTCAGCAGTTAAAAGCAGAAGTGCCTTTTTTCCGATTCTGCTTTGAAAGGAAGATTGCAGGCAGCGGTGGATTTGTTGCTCCTGGTCATCCTCTCGCCTCAGGGGTTGTGAAGTTCTGGCTGAGAAGCAGCAGGTGGGATCGTATCACACCGGAGCAGAGCAGGAGTATATACAGGGTACTTAAAGTGCCCGTGACATCACATTTTTTATAATAAATAACAATGGGCCTCATGCAGGAACATGTTTGTATTCTTATCCTAAATTTCTCTTACTTTTGTTCGTACAAAGGGTTCGTACG